GTTGCTCCATTAGCATGCATTAGCTGGGGTCTAAGAATTATTTTTGCGCACTCTGAGCCACACATAAGAAATGGAATGTAACCTTTAGATTATAGATACTATCTAGTGTTATTTAAATTCAAGCTGTTTCTATTGATTTTGTTTTGTTTCTATATATGCCATGAAAAATGTCTCTAAAAGTAATTTAAGGAAAATATTCAGCACCACTGAACATGATCATCCAAAGTGGCATCATCATCCAAAGAGCTAGGCTGCTAACAGAAGTTACAGATTTTATGTAAGGCATCCAAGTTGTTCAGAGTTTTATGAAAAAGATAATTTAAAATCTAAGCATTCTGAGTAGCCTAGTAATATAACTGAAATGCCTAAGATAAAGCAGAACCTTGCATACACTTCTTGGAACCTACTATACTTCTCCCATAATAAACTTCCTTTAATTATATTGGTGTGCTGGATGCTAGGCACAGTTTTTCTCATACAATATCGTGTTCCTAGTTATTCTTATCTCCTCTCCAGGAATACATGTCATTAGATTAGTTTATTCACTAGAACACCCGGTCACACTAGTCTGCTGTAGCACAAGTTCTGTCACAATGTCAAGAGATAACTTTTTAATCTGGCTGCAATCACAAATACAAAAAGAAAAATGATGTCATATTTTGTGTTGGACAAGGCTGAAAGCTTTAATTAAAAAAAAAAAAAGTTTATGATACTTGCTCTAGCATCAATTTCTTCTCCAGCACTACTAAACTGGCTGACGACTTGCTTAGAACTTACTTTATCCTTTCATACTGTGGTATAGTCTCCACTCAGAAATTTCTTGGTCAGTAGCTGCTAAAATTCTCCAGTTTTTGATTCCTTAATACCAGAAGTGTTTTGCAATGTTCAATAGATATTGACCTACCTAAGAAAATAGTTTAAAATAATCTATTAATGATGACTGGGGGAGCACCTCCTCTATAAATAATCACTGCTTTTTTTTTTTTTTTCCCTCACTCGAAAAATAAAGAAGGAAAAATCAAGAGAGAAAAATAGATTGTTAACAGTAGAGACAAGAAAATAGAGACCTTAAATTCTTTTGCATTTAGAGCAAATCTGCCTTACAACATATTTAAAATCATGTGCTCTCTGATATCACAGATTCAGTCAATTCTAAACCCCACAATAAAGATATTTTGAGTCTCATTTGGAATGAGACATATTGTAGAAATTGTCGTATAGCATACCAGATGGCATCTTTCTTGCACACATCACTTCAGTGTGCTGCTTCTATTGCCTTGAAGAAGAACAAACCATGTATTGCTATCCCTGTAAGAGACTTATACATCCATTTTCTCATGCAGGAATAGGTACATCTTTTTTGATTGTGGTATCACAGAAGGATTGTCATGCAATTTATGTTCTTTGAAATCATAGGAAAGCACAGTAGTATGCAAATGTGTTGCAGGTGAGACTGTCTCATACAGTCTGCATGACATTTTTCAATATCAGGATCAGATTTAGACACAGGCAAAGTAGGCACTGCCTGTAGCAGTGCACTGGTAGGGCTGGCACTGAATCATAGACTAGCAAAATGAAGAGATAGCATTCTAGTCTCAAAGCAACAGACCTGCTCCAGGTTCCACTTGCACTGCCTCAGAAAAACTATCCAAGCAGCCTTCTCTAGGACAAAAGTCTCCTGGACTGGCAAAGAACAAGGAGATCTAAAGAGCTGCATGTTTCCCTAATGAAAGACATGACCCTAATCCCCACATTCTTAACTCTGCTCTGTGCCTTCCTTTGCGTTTGCCTTACTACTACCTTTGGCAGAAGAAGGAGGGTAAAAAAAAGTCTTGCAGATAAGAGGATACTCTAGCAATGAGACAATAGTCAGGGATGAGGACAAGGCAGCAAGCTGACTGTGTTTCTCCATATTTTCTTTCCCCTTGCAACCTTATGTTGTGTTGATGGACTCAGACATGTAGTTATACTGCCAGGGGATGGAGTTGGAGGAGTGCATGCAGTGGGATCAATAGTGCTGTGATCATCCAGTGCTGGGGCCATGGAGGTAGTTAGGCACAGTACCAAAAGCTACATGAAGAAATGTGTCTGGGGAGCCACTCAAAAACTGAATTTTGCCGACACTGTTGCTAGGCATTGAGCCAAGCACTTCTCATCACTGGCAGCACAACTTCCATGCTGTTTATAGTAAGGTAAGGAACAAGCAGTTTGACCATGAAACTGGTATATTGATTATTAGCTGTGACTTTTGTAGTCAGAACATTTTTATTGGTGTGGGACACAGGAGGCAGAGACATGTTTCTATACATGTATGGGAAATACAGGAGTCAATCATGCATAATCCTTTCAAAGAGTGGGATTATGGTCCACTAGGTCTCTTTCTGATATAAATTTTTCTGCTTATGGGAGAAAGGGAAAGACAAATTCAAGAATTCTTTTCAAATGAATTAATGATTTCTCAGTCAACTAAGAAAAATTCAGCAAGGATTTAATTCTCATCTTGTTTGAGATAATTTTGTTCTCAATTTGTTCCCTGAAGATCTTGCCCAGCCTTTCAAATGTGCTTACCCAGGGGAAGTCCACTATATTTCAACTCAACATAGCCTGCCCTCCTCCTTACAGCCTTGCTACTGACTGGGCACAGCCCTGAAGGGATTATGCTCTATCTATGTTCAAAGATATTCATTCACAGTAGAAAAAACTCTGCAAAATAGGGAAGATTTAAAGACAGGTGTGAATAAATGCGTTTGTATTTCCCTGAGACCTATATTCCTATCAATTTGGTCTATCTACTTTCTCTGAGAAAAAATGAATTATCCATTAATCTGTTTGAAGTACATTTAGCTATTTGTGCACACTGGACTCTTACCAAAAATATATGTTCTATATTGCATATATTCACATTATTATTATTAAATACTTGAGAAAACTCCTAAAAGTTTCTTCAGAAGTTACAGATTTACCAGCACCTGATAAGCCTTCACTACTTTTTTGAGAGATGTAATGAACCTTTCATGCTTTGTGTAGTAAAGTATCAAATCA